TTTTTGAATCTCAATTAATTCTATTAAATTATTAGTTTTAGATTCATTAATTTCTATTAAATTTGTTGAAATATTAGATTCACACTCTTCCATTTCTATTAAATTTGTTGAAATATTAGTATTACTAATATCAATTAAATTATTAATTTCCATTAAATCTATAGTGCTTTCTGTTAAATTTGCAGGTATAGTAGGTCTACTAGTTTCCATTAAATTTTTGCTATTTCTATTAATTGTAGATATTTGACGCTGATAAGAATTCACAATTTTCATATAACAATCAGAACATAATTTATTATTTTCATAAGTAAGATGACTATAATAATCTTTATCAGGACAATTATTAATTTTAAATTTAAGATCATCTGAAATATTTCTAATTTTTGTAATTTCTTTTAAGCAAATAGAACAATTTTGAATATTTTGCTGAGACATTTTTATTGTATATAAAAAATAATAATTTTACTGTATATATTTTAATTTTTTTCAAAAAAAATTTTTTTTTAAATTTTAATCATGTTATATATTTATAAAAATTTTAAGTAAATTTTATTATTACGTATATAAAGAATAATTTTATTATTATATAATAATTTTTAATTAATATTACATACAAAATTAGTTTCATTTTAAAATAAACAATTCATTATTGCGCAATAAACAATTCATTATTGTGCAATAAATTTCATTATTGCATAACGAATGATTTTACTGTTGTATAATGAATGAATTTAAAAAATTTTTACTATAGACGAACAAGCTAGAGGTTTTTTAGTTGTTAGATCAACCGTTTCAATATTTTCATCTGATTCAATAAAAATCATTATAATTTATATTATTTAGAGTCCCAATCCAGATAAATCTATCATCCGTTTATTCATAGCGATAGTAAATAGATATCCGAATAAATTCAGATCCGAATATCTGATAATTATTCAGATAAATGCCAACCGGATTGGAACTCTAATATTATTAATATTTATACATATTATATAAATAAATAAAATCCTTTTATAGGTTTTATTATAATTTTGTTGATTATATTTTTCAACGCAGTTTCGACAAATAATTAACAAAATCTTAGTTGTTTGGAGTTATAACTTGAGTTATATTTTCTTAGTTCAATCAATAAATTCTTGTTCATATTGAACTTTTTTTTATTAACGTCCCTCGTGTAATATATTTATTATGAAAAGCTTATCTTACATTCAGATCCCTTGTGTAATATACAGTCAACTCTCTCTAAACCAAACCTACATATACCGAACCCTGGATAATCCGAACAAAAAAAGTAAGAACATTTTATTTATATATAATTACACTGGTTACTTCGAACAATAA